TACCCTGAGAAAAAAAAAAAAAAAAAAAAAAAACCAAAAAAAAAAAAACATAGCTGAACAAGGCATGGTGATGCATGCTTGTAATCCCACTACACAGGAGGCTGAGGCAGGAGGATCACTTCCAGTTTGAGGCCAGCCTGGGCTACTTAGTGAGTTCAAGCCCAGCCTAGAATACATAGTGGGACCCCCGCCTCAGGAAAAAAAAAATCACACGCGCGCGCGCGCACACACACACACACACACACACACACACACATTGTGGACCTGCAGATTGAGCTCAGGACCGAGGACCTCCACACTGCATCTATAACCTTGTTTTATGTTTTTGTTTGTTTGAGAAACGGTCTAGCTAAGTTGCCCCAGCTTGATTCTAACTTGCAATCTTCCTGTCTGTCTTCCAGAGTGCTGGGATTATAAGCATGCACAACCATCTCTGGCTGACTATATATTTTGTTTTCTTTTGAGTTTTTGTTTTTTCAGGTTGGTCTTGCACTCACTATGTACTCCAGACCAGCCTTGAACTCATGGAGATCTTCCTGCTTCAGCTTCTCACATGCTGGGATTACAGGCGTGCACCACCATACCCCGCATATATATGCTTTGATATGAATTCTTATATATTGTTTTCACTTAATTATGAACATCTTTCCATAACAATAAATATTCATCTGCTTCCTCTCGAATGACTGCATAATATTGTCTTATCACATGTTTAACCAATATCTAATGGTGAGAAAAAAAGCTATTTCCAATTTTTCATTTTATAAATAATGACTAACTACAACTAAATTTTTGTGCACAACTTTAAATGAAATGTCTGGAAATTTCTCCCTCAATATTGGATGTCTCTAATCAGAAAAATGCAAAAATCCTAAACTGGCAATCCATAAAGCCAAGAATGGTTCTGAAAGGAAATTGTCCTCACAGGGCCCTGTAGTGCCAGGCATCCACAGGGTATTCAGCAAGATCTTGGCTTTTATGAAGCAGCTAAGACCTACTGAACCAAGTCCTGTCTCAGAATTCGGTAGGAAGTATCTTGTATACCATACACCCTATAAGAACTGTTCTACAGAGCCAGGTGTGGTGGCACACGCCTGCAGTCCCAGCACTTGGGAGGCTGAGGCAGGAGGATCACCATAAGTTTGAGATCAGCCTAGGCCATGAATTCTAGGTCAGTATGAAGTACATAGAGAGACCAAGTCTCAAAAACAACAACAAAAAGCCAAACAAACAATTGTTTTCCACAGGTGAGGAAAGTAAGGCTCACAGAAAGTAGGTGGCCTGCCTGTGGCCTCTCTGGCAGTAGCCTTTATGGGGTCTTGGCCTTTACACTTCAACCCTGTGCTGTAGAGCAACCAGGCTCCTAGGCTGAGAAGGGAGCAGGACATTACCAAGAAAAACCCATCCTGTCAGGCTTGGGGGTCACCGTTGACACCCAAAGGCCAGCAGAGTGATGGGGAAGAGGGCTGGGATGCAGCTGGCCTCCCAATCCTGCGTCTCCTCACACCACACCACACCACGCAGGCCAGTGGGTTCTTCAAGTAACAAGTCTGAGCCTATGGCACTTGGCCATAACCTCCTGTCGGTGTGATCCACAAACCAGAGTGAGCATTCCAGGCAGAAGGAGCATCACGTGGAGGGCCCTGAGGAGGGGGCATGCAGAGCTGGAAGTATTTAATAAGCTGCCATTATTTCTGAATGGCTGGGACACAGAGTAGAACTGGAGGGGTGAGGATAAATCAGGCTGTGTCTATGTTTAAAAAAAAAAATCTCATTTTTATCCCCATTCTGCAGATGATGAAACTGAGGTTTAGGCCCATGGCAAGTCTGAGACCTCGCGGCTAGTAAGTGGTAGAGCCAGAACTCAAACCCGACTCCATTTGACAAAAAAACTTCACATTTCTTGAACCACAGGCCCCACCTCCCTGCCTACCCTATCACCCCCCCATTTCCTCCCGTCAGGGTGCCCACACTGTCCCCTGCCTGGCTCACCTTCTGCAGATCTCTCAGTTGAAAGTTGGCTCAGCCGTCAAGTGCCTGTCCACCAACAAGGCCTCTTCTCTCCAGGAAGCAGGTCTTGAGCCCCACAGCTGGAATTAACTCCTGCCTTCCAGACCAGTTTGCTGACAACCTAACCCAGGGTTTCTCCACCTTAGCTGCATTTATTCGGTGCAGGATAATCCTTTGCTAGAGGGGAGTTGTCCAGCGTGCAAGGTAGGGTGTTGAGCAGGTGCGTGCCCTCCCCTCACTAGAGGCCAGCAGCATTCTTGGAAGATGTGACAGACAGCTAAAAAATGTCTCCCAACACTGCCAGTGTACCCCGGGATGGTCAAACTGTACCCCCTGAGAACCACCATCCTAAACTATTCGCTGCCCTCCATCTTGAGCCACAGATAATAGAGTCTGTGTCCACGTTACTCACCAGGCCAGGGGCTCAGGCTCAGATGCCAACAGCAGTCAGTCAGGCAGGTAACCCTGGACAGCGGTGACAAAGTGGCCTTCAAAAGGCCTGGCCCAGTCACACTTGGCCAGAGCTTGTCCCATGGGAGGTGGGCCCAGTGTTGCCAGGTCTGATTTTTCAAGATATTTTAAAGTCTGTTCTATTAAAAAAAAAAAATGCTGGCAACCAAGTCCTGGTTGGGCTGGCCCTATGTAGCTGCATCGCAGTCTGCATTTCGTCTCTAGTGAGCCCTCCCTCAGGCCCAGGGCAGCTTGTGTGGTAACCAGTGTGCAGCTCTGGGCAGCCTCCTGCAAAGCATCCAGGGGCCGCACTGGTTCCCCAGCTCCAGGAGTGGCAAACTTGGCGTCTTAAGTCACTGTCCTGAGCAGACATCTGGGGCACGCTGGGCAGGCTCCCGGGAGCGTCCTCACCCATAGTGCACCACTCCCTGGGGCAGGCCTTCATGCAGGCCTGGGGAGCAGCTTCTGAGAAGGTCCAGGCCCTTGGAAGGGGCTTTCCTGTCCCCTGTTCCAAAGAAAAGGTAAGGCATGAGGTGTTATGGGCCTAGCTTCACCCTCAATCCATGTGTCCTGTCCTTGGCAGAGCAGGCAGGAGGGTGCTCCTGGTTGCCAGAAAAGAACCCTGCTGCCCAAAGACAAGGGGTTCTGCCAGGTGTCTACACAGTGACACATTTGTAACAGCACAGCCATCACTCCTGAGCCCTTACTGTGTGCCAGGCTGTCCTCACCACAACCCAAATGAGCCCATTTCAGAGATGAAGTAATTGAGGCTTGGACAGGTGATATGACCTGCCTACCAACCAACTCTCACCTGGAACAAGGGGATACTCTTGGGGGTCTTTTAATCATCAGGCATCCCTGTGAGGGATGGGGGTCTTAACCTAAAGTTAGCAACAGATTCTGGCTCCTAAGCACTATCCTGGATTGTTACCAGCAAAGAATTTCCATGGAAATTTTTCTTTTGTTTTCATTTTTGGGGAGTTGTTTTTTGCAGGGGTGGTTACTGGGGATCAAACTCGGGTCCTTGCACTTGTGAGGCAGGTGGTGGAACCACTGAGCTAAATCCCTGGACCTGTTTTTGTTTTTATTTTTTTTTAAAGGTTCTTGCTGTGTAGCCTAGGCTGGCCTCAAACTCTCAAACCTCCTGTGTCAGCCTCCTGAGTGCTGGAACTATAGGTGTGCCCTTGGCAGAATTTTATTTTATGAGTACTGGGGATTGAACCCATAGCCATAGCACTGAGCTACATCCCTAGCCCTAGCCCTTTCTTCTTTTACTTTTTTAGTTTGAGATATGGTTTACTAAGATGCTAAGTTGCCCAGGTTGAGCTTGAACTGTTTTGTTTTTTTTTGGTATTGAGGCTCGAACTCCGTCCTTGCACTTGCCAGGCAAGCAGCAGACCCACTGAGCTAAAGCCCCAGCTTGAGCTCAAACTTTTTATCCTCCTGCCTTAGCCTCCAGAGTTCTGGTTTACAGGCATGTGCCACCCACCTAGCAAGAAAATACTTTTTTAAAGAAAAAAATGGAAACAAAGTATTTGTAAATAGGGGAGGGTGGAGGTAGGGATAAGGGGAAAAATGAGAACCATGATCTGTCACATAAGGATACAAGATCCCAATGATGAATATAAGTGTACGGTATACTTAAAAAGTACCAGTAAATTCAGTAAGATTAAAGAAGAAAATAATTAATAAGAGTTTTCATGAATAAAACATATCTTGACCTTCAGTTACTAAAATGCCCGCCCAAGTATGTGTGGGAAGACAGTGTAGATATTTGCAACTAACTCTAAAATGCAACACAGACTCATGTGAATTAGTGGGTGGCCAGAGGGAAGAACCAGCAGAGAGAACCACGGAAGCTGAGTCTGCTGCTCCCCGTGGAACGTGTACGGTGAGCACATGTTGTTCGCTGCACAATACCTTCCCTCATGCAACACCCAGGAGGAACTCTAGGTTCCAGGGTGCAGACAGCCTTCCCGCCTCTGAACCTCTGCGGATGGGACTCGGGTGATTCTGGGGCCCGGCTTGCTCGCTGCTCCCCTCCTACCCCGAATAGCAAGCGGGCTTCTTTTTGTTCCTTCCTTCACACTCTCCAGAGGGTCCCTGTGAACTGAGGTTTTGGCCTCTAGTCTCCCTTTTCTCCACTGTCTCACCACAGCATGGGGTCCTCCTTGCCATGGGGCTGGGCTGGGATTCTGGGCAGACCAAGGCGAGCTGCATGCCGCCCAGCACGGTGACCGGTCTGCACACGGCCACACGCCGCTGCCGTCTGGCTGTTTGTGTCCCCTTCAACAGTCTATGATGAAACCCAATCCCCATTTTACAGAAAGGAGACACTGAGGTCCAGAGAGAGGTTTAACTTCCCCAGGATGAAGCAGAGCCGAATCAAATGACTCCCCACACAACTCAGCATCTCCGCCACGGAGAAAGGAAAACTCAGGTTCGCCGGGAGACCTGAGGACAGATGTTCACAGCAGCCTCTTCGTGACTGCCCCATTCTGGATGCTGCCCAGGAGTCCTTCGAGAGGTGATGGAGAAAAACAACAGCACAGCCGCACCATGAACTATTCTCAGCCATCAGAAAGGACACACACAGCAGCCTGGGTGAATCTCAGACACATTATGCTGAGCACAAGAAGCTGGATCCGAAATTCACACCCCGTAGGCTCTCATTGGTGACATTCTGGAAGAGCTGAAACTTCAGAGGCACAGAGCAGATCAGTCGTTGCCAAGACTAGAGGGAGAAAGGATGAGGGCTACAGAGGACCCACAAGAAGGAATCTGGGGTAAGAAGGAGTTATTTAGGGTGCTGGTTTATGTGGTGGTAACATGAACCCCTCCTGTGTTAAACATCAGAGAACTGTACCCAATGGGCTGGGGATTTAGCTCAGTGGTTCCGCTGCCTGCCTTGCAAGCACAAGGACCCGAGTTCAATCCCCGGTACCAAAAAAAAAAAAAAAAAAAAAAAGAGAACTGTACCCTGACACACTCCACAGAATTACAGACCCTCCTTGCAAATAGAAACAGGCTGCTGTTGTCATAGGCCCTGGCCAGCTGGAGAACACCATTTCCTCTTGGGGTCTTGACCCAGGAGACCCAAGAAAGCTCAACAGTGAATGCTTATGAGCTACGTGGGCAGCTGCTGAGTGGACACAGGGCGGCTTGGGGGCCGATGACAGTGTCGTAGAACTAGAGAGATAGTTGTGCAGCACTGCAAATGTGTGACCTGCTCATCTCAGATGGGTCGACCTTATGTACATGAACTTCAGTTTACTGCGTTTTCACACTAGAATGTGCCCCAGCGGCTGATGTACCCAAGGCCTGGTCCCCAGTTTTGCCTCTGAGAGGTGGGGCCTAGTGGGAGGTTTGAGGTTACTGCCGTGGTGCCCTGAAAGAGGACTGTGCGATTTCTTTTTCCTCTTTCTTTCACTTCCAGGTCACAAGGTGAACAGTTTTGCTCTGCCCTGTGCTGCCATCATGATGTCCTCCACAGGCCCAGATCATGGAGCTGACTGAATGAAACCTCCAAAACTCTGAGCCAAAATAAGCCTTTTCTCTTTATGAATTACAGTAACTTTTTTTTTTTTTTTAAAGAAAGTTTCAATCTGGAAAATGAGAAGTATCCGGGGATTGTTATCTTCTGAATCCACCTCAAGGCACCCAGGCCTCAGAAACATTAAGTAACTTGCCCAAGGCCACACAACCAGTAAGAGGCTGATCCTGAATCAACCTGTCTCCAGTGCTTGTGCTCCTTCCACTAGGAAAAAAACGGGTTAAATAATCCCCCCAAAAGTGACTGGTTGTGAGCTGGAAGCACCGGCCAGCTGCTTTTCTCTGACAAGATGATCTCAGATCACGGCACTCATGGCTTCAAAGAATAAATTTCCCATTCAAAAATGGAGTTCAGTGCAAGACCCCCATTCCCCCACCCCACCCACCCCGAGTGACCTGGTTTACGTGAAAAATCTCTCAAGGCACAAACTAGAACCTGGGCCGGTATGTGGAATCTGCCGCAGACCCTTTTCTTGTAATGACCCCGATTCTGTGAAACTGAAACTGTTCCAGAAAATCAACACTGAGCATGGCTTGGCTGTTTGCACAGAAAGAGAAACCCTTCTGAGAAAGGCAGTGAATGAGAAAGCCTTATTTCATGGGGAAAAGAAAACTAGGCAGGGCTGGGGATTTAGCTCAGTGGTTCTGGTGCCTGCTTTACAAGTGCAAGGACTTGAGTTTGATCCCTGGTACAAAAAAAAAAAAAAAAAAAAAAAAAAAAGAAAACTAGGGGACAGATGTTGAACGGCCCTACCTGGTAGCACGGCATTTTTCCATGGGCTTTGGGATGGTGTCTGACTACCAAAGCCCCAAACTGGAACATCCCAACCGCCGCTGAGGCCTGCACTGAGGGTGCACAACCTTGTTGTGGGTTCAGCTTGGGATGCAGCACCTCTGGCCGGGTGGGGCTCCGGAAGGACTCAGAGTTCAGCCTTGCGGAACAGTGACTCTTGAGTGGGCCCAGCTGGCAGGAAAGGAAGGCAGAGTCGGCCAAGAATTTCTTTTTCAGAGGCTGAACTGAGGGGCCATGGCTGCAGACTGGAAGACAGAATTTGCATGGGCCTGGGACAGGCTCCTGCTGGAGCCACAGGGCAGGGGTTTGGGGGAGCTGAGGGCCTAGGTTTCAGGTGGGGTGATGGGGGCAAGGGGAGCCCAAACCCACTGGGGGACCCACAGGGAGGAAGCACAACTGTGCGTGAGCCTTAGCTGGGAGACACACCGCCCATGCTAGGAGGTGTGCTGTGCCACTTGACAGAGAGGAAGACTAAATCTGGTATCTTTTTTCTTCACTCACCAAGCACATGTGGACACCTGCTCTGTGCCAGACCCCAGGATGCAGCAGCAGACTACATCCACCAGAATCCTGGAGCTCCCGATGTGGTGAAGGGTGAGGCGGTAGCTAAGGACTGTGTGAGTGACAGGCACACGCACCAGAAGCGAATGAGCCAGGAGGGGAGAGGAGAGGGTCTCTGTCGGGAAAAGCTCCCTTGGCTGAGGCCTACAAGAGAAGGGTCTGGCAGTCCGAGGAAAGGCAGCAGCACAGAGGCCTGTGCATTTTGCTAGCAAGTAGGAGGACAGGAGAACGCAAAGGGAAAGGCTGGCTGCATGGTGGGTGCAGAGTGAAGGGGCCCGCCAGTCACAGGAGCAAGGGGTGGACGGGGCAGCATTGGTGGCTTTGGCTCTAAATGCAGTGGGAGCAGCGTTCTCTGGAGCGTTTGGGGGTCTGCTCCGGTTGATTGTTCTCGCTTGATGCCCATGACTGCTCTGTGGAGAACAGATGGGGGCAGGGAAGCAGGAGGGCCAGGCTGGAGGCTGTAGCTGCAGTAACGGGAGATGGTGGGGGCTCCCAGCAGGTTGGAGCAGGGGCAGCAGCAGACATGGCTGAGCTTGGTCTACCGCCCATGGCCCAAAGCAAGGCGCCAAACAGAAGAGTCAGGAGAGGCACCAGGATTTGGGGCCTGGGCTCGATGACGCAGGTGCCCTTGACCTGGAAGAAAATAGTTTAAGCAAGGACACAGGGTCAGGAATCAGCTCCTTCTCCTCCCCGTGGCCCCCCACCTCTCTTGCACCTCCATTCCGACCTCACACTCCTCCCCAAGGCCACAGAGCTCTTCCCATTTTCTCCTTGCCACGCCCTGCTCTGTCCCACCTCTCCATCTTTGCTCAGGCCACTCCTGCTGCCACAGGACCCTCGCTCCTCTCTTGAGCAGAGTGGAGGCCTCTGAGGGGATGCACTGGGTAGTAGGAGCAACTCTAACACCAGGGCCTTCTTGGCTTGAGCTCCAGCCAATGTGCCTCCTAGCACGTGATCCTAGGCAAGCTCCTGAATGGGACTCAGTTGTTTCAGCTGCAAAATGGGACTGAAAATATAAGGACCATCACCCGCTCAGCTCCTGAGCAAGCGAAATGTCAGCATGGTTGGACGGGGTCACTTCAGGGGGAACAGAAATGGCACAGTGAGGCAGCTGCTCAGGGCAGTTCACACAGCTCAGGGAGCTGCCACAGCAGTAAGAGAGGAGGCCAGGCCTTGCCCCGGGAGGGCTGTCCGCATTGTGTCCCGCTGTGCTGGGAACAGCTGCATGCTCACCATCCTCCCTGTGCCCTGCCAGGCCTTCCTGCTCTGCACTCACAGGAGGGGACCTGAGGCCCAGTTTTCTTCTTGATGCAGCAGGAATTCTTACAATGCTCTAGGAGACAGGTGTGGCCGGGTTCTTGAGGCTTCTGGAGTAAAGTGTGTGTCCTTGTTTCCTCCTCAGCTCCAGCAGGGCCGGTGGGACCTACGCTGGCTCGTGTGGCTGGCTTCGCACCACAGAGGTGGAGGGTGGCAGCTGGCCTGCCTTCTCATGCAGCCACTGCACACCCAGGCCCGGCCTGGGAGGGGAAGCCACAGGGCAGGCTGGCTTGGCCACAGGGCCCCACCCCACTGTGGCACAGGCCAGGCTGGGGGCAGGCCATGGGGCTTACCAGAATCAGGACCTCTGAGCAACACCGAATGTGAAAGTATAACTCACACTCAGGCAGTGCACGCACAGTCTGGAAGACTCCTTGTACGCACAGCTCCAGCTCACAGCCAAGCTGGTTCTCCCTGGGCTTTGGACCCGCAAACCCTGCCAGTGCTAGTCATGCAGGATGCACACGAACACACAACTACCTGCAACCATGGGAAAGACACACCGCAGATTCCAGGCCAGTGGCCTGCAGATGGTCTGTGCACACAAGGGTGCTGGTTGTATGGTGATGCCATGTCACAGGGCTCCCAAACCTCACACGGTATACACCCATGACACACCACAGACACATAAACACACACACACACAGACAGCCTCAGATGCAGAACAGCTTGCTTGCTGACTTTGACTTCTACCAGAAGGCTGTCCTGGCCCCTTGCTTCCCTGCCTGAGCTGGCACCAGAATCACCCCCTGGACTTCAGTCACTTGGTCCCATAAACTGCCCAAGCCACCAGCACCCCAATGGCCACCCTCAACCCACCACTAAGTGCCAGAAAACTCCCCAGCAATGCCGCTGCTGAGACCTTAGGCTACCTTGGTGCCATGCACAAAAGCCTTCTCCTCACCAAAATTAAGGTTGTCATAGTCATTGTAACCCTGCTTCCTGGAGAGGGGCTGCACAGTCAGCCAGGCAGGTAGGAGACATGCCGTAAAAGGCTCACTGAAGGAAAGGAGGGCGACATGCAGGACAGGCCGAGGCTCTGCCACATCCACGGGCACACTCTGTGACTCCTCCGAGCACCCCCAGGAGCCCGGAGCCTCTCACATTACAGAAGAGGACACTGAGGCCCAAGGGTGGCAGAGGTCCCTGCCTTCTTAAATTAGTGACATATGCAGCGACCTTTTCCAAATAAGGTCACAACCCCATGTTCTGGGTCAGGACTGCACACGCCTCTGGGGACACTCTGTGGCATGCTGTAGGTGAAGAGCCAGGTGGTGCCCGGGGAGCTCTGCCCTCACCCAGTCCTGATATCACTGGGCTGTCACTGGCAAGACAGGGCAAGAGCGACAGAGGCCCCGGAGGCTCCTGGGTGACTGGGACCTGCCATGGAGATCGAGGGAGTAGATACAAATCCTCCAGCAGTACGCGCCTGGAACTTAGAAAGCTAGCTTGAAATCCAAGCCAGTATATGAACGTGTCAAGCCAGAGCCGCACTCTTTGATGAAAAAGTGCTGCCACGCTCCTAGGGGACCGGTAACTTCCCCCCCAGGGAGCCTCCATCATCCCCGGGCTCTCCTCCCCCAGCCCAAGAGGCCAGGAACCCAGTGGGAGCGCTGAGCCCAGGGTGGGGCCACCCCAAGCCTGTGGCCCTGGTCCTCACTGAGTGTCCCACGTGCTGCTCGCACACACCCAACGGCGTCTTCAAAGCAAACAGCAAAGACCAGGACGAGTCGGTAGCTTTCCCACGGCAGTGGTGGGAGCGGGAGCACGGAGAGCGGCACCTCTCCAAGGGCAGCTGGTGGCAGCTGGAGCTTCTCCTGGTCTTTAGAGGTGTGTGCATCCCCAGCCCTGCCCATTACTGGAGCTCCACGTGGGTCTCCCCAGGCGAGGCGGATGCAGGCTGCAGTTTAGGGGCCACTGGCCTAGGGGTGGGAAATGCAGATGCAGGAGCAGCTCCCAGGCTTCAGTCCTGGTTCTGCCACCTACCAGCCTGGCTGTGTCTCTTCATGTCCCGGGTGCACTTTTCCTAATGAGACAGCACTTGGTACTGTGCACATGCTGACTGTCATTGTCCACTTTACAGACCAGCTTTCATCTGTTACGCTGTGTACTTGCACATAAGCAAGCACATACATGTTCTTGCACATGCACACACACATTCACATACATGGAGAACAACCATCCTTTCAGGGATGGATGCCTGCTCTCCCTGCCTACTTCTCCAGCCCTGCCCCTCCCCTCCCCATCACTTTCACAGCTCCAGCCACACAGGCCTTTTTGTTCCTCCAGGATGCCAGGCTCCGTCCCACCTCAGGGCCTTTGCACATGTTGTCACCACGCCTAAGACACTGTGCCCTCAGATTTCCACACCTGGTTCTTCCTCCTCCCCTGCTGCCATCTTAGTTCAAACATGTAGCTTTCACTGTGAGTGCCTTGTGAGGGAAAAAAGGAGGAAAAGAAACAGAAGTATGAGCTCAACAGGACAGGTTTATTGCAGAACAAACCTGAGGGGGAACCACTCTGGCACTAGAGACCAGACCCGAACTCTCATACAGGATAAGGGTCTTTTATAGGGTCATGGGGAGGGAGGAATTCAGTGAAAGGGGGTTGTGGGTACCAGCCAAGAGCAAGGCTTGAGAGTGCACAGAGGCTTCAGACAGCAGTAATGGTTGCCCCAGCACAAGGCTTGGGAAAGTGCAGGGGGAGTAGCTGCTGCTATCAATAGCAGGGCTGATGATGTTGAGTCCTCAGGGACAGTTGTGTCAGGAGGGGCTGGTTTAGAGGGGCCACTCATCAGGATGGCTGCAGTCGGATTCCTTCGTTCTAGTCTCTTAGATAAGGAAAATGGGCAGCACATCTCTCCCTTAGCTACTTCCTGCCAATTAGGGGCACGGTTGTGAGGTCTCAGCTGGACTGAAGAAGGAAGGCCCTATGGCTATGGTCTACAATCCTGCTGGTGAGAAATCTTTGAAACAGATTAGACCTGACAATAATAAGCAGGGGAGTAAAAAGAGGAGAACAAGCACTACACATGGAAGAATCCAAGACAGAATAGTGGCCTTCCATGAATCCCATGAACACTGCAAGGGGTCCTGAGACATTTGTGGTACTGTCTGAACTTCTGAGTTTATCTCCTACAGAGCTGCAGTTACATTATCACAATTATCTGGGATAAAAGTACAGCATGTTGTATGAAGACTGGTGCATATGCCCCTTAGGCCAGAATTTGTGTGGGGGCAATGTTTCCAGGCACTTTTATCATGCATTCATTCTGTATGATCACAGGAAGTTTGGCAGTCTCTAGGTGAGAATAAACCACTTTACCAGGAGTTTAGAGCATGAAAAGACAGATTGGGGAAGAAGCCACATTCAGACAGTGCCCTTAAGGGACTGGAATAGCAATTATAACTCGCTGGCTTCTGTAGCGGGAAATGTTAGCAGGGGTCAGTGATTGGAGCCAACGTTACTATTATGTTAATATGTTTTTGGTTATACTGTACTTTTCTGCTAGATATTCAAGACCAGGTTAAAGTGAGACCCGTGTTAATCAAAGTTAACCTCTTGCTATCTACCAAGGTCAGTCAAGGCTCCTCAGGCATTACTTCTGGAACCATATTCAGAGCCTCTCAGCTCCTCTGTGAGTTTTACCTACCAGGATGGATCATGACTTGATCCATGTGGCCATGTGACTTCCTATGGAAGCATAGAAGATTTCTTTTTTCTTTAGTGACCCTCATTTTTAGTACATTTATTGACTCTTATCCTCTAGGACCCAACAATCTCCTTGTTCGGGAGGTTTGGTGACTCACCAAAGTTGTAGGATCCTGCAGAAAGGTCCCCTCATGTCCTAGGTCATTGTTAACCCTGAAGGGCCAGGGCCAAAATATTGGCTGTCCTCTTAGCCCAGTTATCTTTTTAACTCTGCTCTCCAAATCTCAGTTGTTGAACACCCAGGAGATTAGTTATTTTAGCTAGATACCAAGTAACTTGAAATATATATGACCAGTGAACCGTTATTTCCTTATCAATCATGGTTGTCTTAGGAGTTGACCGCTAAATTTGTACATTGCCTGGGCCACACAGTATTTGAGCATCTCTACGTGTCGTAACACATATTTGACATATACATAGCAATCTGGCTGTCTCATGCTGGGTTGGCATGCATATCTTATCACAAGTAGCTGGAAAACAAATCACGAAAGCCTGATGGTTGAGCCTAAAAGTTTACCACCATAAATAACATCAGCCTGAAAGTCAGTGGTATGAGAAAACATTTTTCAGTTTTGCATCTTGGAAGACTTGCATACTTGGGAAACAAATTTAATACACCATGAAGTCAGCAATAGTGTCACAAACCAGGCTGGAGCTGTCCAAAGAGGCAGCTCTGTCTTATGTTTTGTCATTGACCAGTCTAAGTGTCCCTGTAAGTCATGCAGAAAAGGCTCATGTCCAGTATCAATTTCAGAAATGTGAGTTGAAGCCTTTGTCTGAAAGCACCAATTAGATCAAAAAGGAGAACTGGGACCTGGGGAAGACTGATTGGTGAACAGGGAGTTGGGGCCATAGCCCCCCTCATCTTTTTCTGAGCCACAGGGAGTTTTAGAAAAATAGTCTGGACTCCACCAAACCAACAGGCAAACATACATATTTCTTTCTATAAATGCATCCTTCACAAACTTTTGCTCAACATACGTGAGCCTTAAGTTTCTGACACTATCAAAAAAATACCTTATCACTGGGGTTTAGTTCAGTGGTTCCACTGCCTACCTCACAAGCACAAGGTCCTGAGTTCATTCCCCAGTACCAAAAACAACAACAAATCTTATCATGCAAAATCCTCTCGCATCAAGACATATCTTTATTCTTAAAGCTTTCTTCATTTTCTACTATGTCCTATTCAGTCTAACTTTTTTTTCAGAATAAATTTAGTTGTTGCTGCTTGGATTTTTAAAATACTTTTCCCCCTGTGAAATTTGACTGGCTGCCAACTAATTTTCAAGCAACCTTGAATAGTAAAAATTATCTTAGTATAAGCAGAAGCAGAAAGAAAAGCAAGTAAACCCTGTAAGTGTAGCCTGAGAATTTACTATGTATAAGAAATGTTTTAAGCATATTGATTAAACAAAAATACCCACTCAAATTGGATGCCAAAAATAAATTTATCAATTTTTGTTGCCCTAGGCCTAAAATTTTTATTACCCCTTTTTAGGCTCATCCCTGTGACTGAGTTTTCAACTGTGAGAAATGGATTTGTTTAGACTCAAATGGGATTCCAGAGGCAGCAAAAGCAAGCCCTTAGTAAGTTTGGATATCCTGAAAACCTATATAAATAGCTTTCCATGGAAATCTCAAAAAGAAAAAGAGCTCAAACAAAGCAGCTGTAGATGTAACCAGTTCTTAGCACAGAATGAACAGTCAGACAGACAAACATGAGAAGACAATTGCTTCTAAATCAGAATACACTTTTAGATGTATCCATAATGAGTGCTCTTGAACCCTTGTAAAAATACTGATAGAGTTTTCTTTCTTTTTCTTTTTTTTTTTTTCCTGATTAATCTGTTCCAGTTTGGCTTAATTTACTGGCTTGACTTTTGCTGCCTTAAGCCCTTCCTTTTTGCATAATAGACCCAATTGACATATAGTATCATAATTTAGAGCCCCCTTACAGGGCCTTACGTATGGGCTGAAAGAGCAATTTTGGGGAGAGAGAGACAGAAAAGTGGAGAGTGAAGAAAACTTGGGTATAAGTGACCTCCTATCACATGCCATTTCCCTGCAGGTAGTTACAAAGAATTTGGAATCAAACATGCCAAGTTCATCCACTGACAATAAAATATGAGATTTTTAGGCTGAATATACCCTTTTAAACTGAGGGGTGAAAGATTTTTTAGAAGACAATCCAAAGGGGTATCTGCTGTCTGCTCCAATCTCTCTGGAAGTCCACCACAGAGCCTGGTCCTGCTGGTCTGGGATCTCAATGTGGCCTGTATCTATAAGGCTTTTCTGGAAGATTGGGCAGGCACAGATTGGGAGCTCATAGCAACTGACACTATTTGCTGGAATCTGAGACATTTGGGAGCCAAAGTAACTGATAAGAAAGTGTGCAGGAGTCCTCCAAACAGGACTAGGACCTGGATGGATTCTCCTGTGGATATGGTCTGGCCACGTCAGAGAACTTTTTTCTTTTTTTCTTTCTTTCTTTCTTTTTTTTTGGGGGGGTACCAGGGATCGAACTTGGGTCCTTGCACTTGCAAGGCAGGCAGAGGAACTGCTGAGCTAAATCCCCATCCCACAGAAAACTTTTTTCTGAAAGATCGGGCAGGTGTCCCCAGCTCCAATTTCTGTGGGAGTCCATTGCAGAGCCTGGCCCTGCAGGACACCCACCTGGGGTTAGGGGTCCTCTGGGACACTGGACCTATACTGCCTTGGAGGGCAGGGCCGGATCTTACCAGCTATGGGCTGGATAATGAAGTGCCCAATGTTGGGTGGAGGGTCATCAGGAAAGGATAAATGATTTCCTGGAGCTCCTAAGAGGGGAAAAAAGAGACAGAGATGGAGATGGTGGGGGGACACGGTGACAAAAGGAAGTGGTGAGGATCCCGGAGTAGTCCCTCAACCTTTCCCTTTACCCACACAGGCCACTACAATGTCAGGAAAAAAAGAGGAAAAGAAACAGGTATGAGCTCAACAGGACAGGTTCACTGCAGAACAAACCTGAGAGGGACCACTTTGGCACTCAAGATGAAACCAGCAACTCTCATACAGGCTATGGGGTCTTTTGCAGGGTCATGGAGAGGGGAGAGTTCAGTGAGAGGGGCTTGTGGCTCACCACCCAGCACAAGGCTTGAGAGAACACAAGTGGTCATGGTTGCCCAGAGATAAGGCTCAGGAAAGCACAGGAAGCAGTGGCTGTGGTCAGTAGCGGGGCTGACGGTGTTGAGTCCCCAGGCACAGCTGTGCTGGGAGGGGACCATCAGAGAGGTCTCCACCGGGCTGCAGTGGGATTCCTTCACCCCTCCTTGAGCAGCCAGCTCACTGGATCCCGTCCTAGCTGCAGCCCTCTGCATGCAGTGATCTAATTTATGTACTGTTCACTACTTGTCTTCCACTGGGGTGTGAAACCTGCCTGCTGCTGCATTCCAGTGCCCCACCTTCGAGTCTCCCCTCAAGCAGTGTCACTCCCCTGCTCCTCCATCTGTCTGCGCGCGCGTGAGTGGAAACAGAGCCCTTCCACACCACCCCGGGAGGCAGTGAGGCTGCTGAGCACGCCGTCAGCCCTCGACCACACTCCCTGGCTCTGCCCTTTATGCACAGTTTATAGTCTGCCGATCTTGCTGTGCCTCATCCCCTCCCTCCATCCTGCACCATCTGCCAAGGCTTCATTTCTGACAGAGGAAGTGGGAGGGAGTGCAGAGCCACAGCGGGCCCTGTGGGTTCTCATTTCAGGCAGGCTGCGGACACGGTGGTGCTGGACACGGGCCCAGCTGCCAGACTCCAGAGTCCCGTCTTCCTCATCCCCACAGCGGTTTCACGTTCCAGACCTGGGAGTTCTAGGAAGCCGCAGAAGCAGCAACGCCCTGTTCTGTGGCTGTCCTGGCTCTGCCTGGCTCCCTGAGGAGCAGGTGGTGGGTGAGGAGGTTCCAGGGTGGCAGACATCTCTGTGGACAGGAAACCCTATCCTGCCAGCTGCAGCGGAGCATGCTAGGCGCTGGTCACCAGCGCTGACAGACGGCAAAGCAAATGTCAGGCGGCTCACTGAGCACTGAGCACTTTACTGTGGGTGGAGACTGAGGCTCCGCTCGAATTCTGCATAGCACACGGCAAGTCAGGGGTGCGAAGCCAACTCCGACCTCACACACCAGTTCCGAAGCCATCACTGGTACTGATTGGATCCCCTCTGTGGACTTCAAGGACCAGGGACTAAGTGAGAAAAGAAAAGACACGGACAGAGAGGTGGTCCTGCTGGGAGGTGCAGGAGGGAAGGAACCAGGCTAGCTGAGCATCTCACAGAGGGCACAGTGAGGAGGGATGCACAGGTGGGGGCCAAGGAGGGCAGAGACCACCCCAGGAGGGTGGGAGCAAGGGGAGGGTCCCAGCGCCCCAGAGGTGGCACTCTGGTGCATCTTTCAGATGTGCACCACACCCTCCCTTTGAAGCTGTAATCCCACTTCTGAGAGCCTCTCCTGAGAAAATCCCCCTGCCTCCTAGGGAGCCACGTGACAAAGTGGGTGGCTTTGTCTCCAGGAGGTTGGGACCACCCGCATTTCCTGAGCAAGGCAGGGCTGCCCCCCAGCACCTGGATGGGACAGGATGGGGTAGGGGAGCAGGGGAGGGCTGGGGCATGCTGGGTGGCCAGGCCCTTCGCGTTCTGAGTCCATCTGCAAACCCCGGTTGGGCTGTGCTTTTTCTTCTCAATGTTACTTCACTTTCAGTTAGTTCCCCGTCCCCACAGCACCTGACACCATCTCTGTGTATGGATGTGTGTGTGTGTGTGTGTGTGTGTGTGTGTATGAGTGTGCATGCATGTGTATGTGTGTGTGCGTGGAACCTTTTCCTTCAAGGCACAAGCTCTACACAGTGAAGGGCGCTGATCTGGGTACATAGTTCTGTACACGTCACTCTGCACACACGCGTCAGTCACCACCAGGTTAAACACAGCCCCGGCTGCTCAGTGTGGTACTGGGACCAGCTCCTCGGCATTGCTGGGAGCTGGCCGGAAATGCAGAATCACAAGTCCACCAGTCCCAGCGTGGGGGTCAGGACTCAAATCCTAGCAAGCAAGACACCGGCACTCATGTTGGAAACACAGGCATGTTGACATAGAACTTGAGGTGCAGGCTCCTGAGCCTGAGAGGGACACCTCGAACCCAGCCCAGAAACCAGCTCAGGAGAGCTTCCCCCTTGCCTGTCACCCACACCCAACCCCACCTCCACCAGCTGATGGGGAGAAGACATTGCCCCAAAGTCACAGAACAGCTGACTAAGAGGTCTAGGGCACGCCACGCCCCTGCACCATTTGCCCTGAACTTGGCAACTTTGTGCCTCAACTTACCCACTTGCAAAGAGGATAAAGACCTCTGCCTGAGCTGCCCCCTGCAGCACGGGGAAGATACTGTAGAGGACTGAGTACCGTACCCTTGTAGCACACTGGGGGCTCTGGACACGCATGTCCTGCCTTACTCAGGCACGTCCAGGCCCTGCCACATTTAAGCCACACAACAAGTCTGTAAAGCAGGGGCTATTATCATGTTAATATCAATATACTAATATTAACGCCACATCAAAGCATAATAATAATAATAATAACATTTTGCCATTTTGTGCCATTTGACAGATGAGAAGAAAAAGGGTAGGTGACTTGCCTGAGAAAACTACAAAGTGAGGGGCAGCACAGTCAGAATTGAACAAGATGGTCTGACTCCAGTGTTAACCTGCACCTCTCAGAAAGGAGCACACAGGCTGACTGTCCCACAAGCTAGTTGAAGACAGAAACCTGCTTTCTTTCCTCCTTTTCTGGGGACAAAACATGCAACAGTAATTCATGAGATTCTGATCACCCAAAGCCGAGTCCTCCCACTCCATCCCAGGCCGCGCCTCCTCCTGGGGGCAATGCTGTGCTGTCTCTTCTGTCCCTCTCTGAAAGAGACCCGATGGCACAGGGACACACACGGTCCTGTGCACTTACACATGGGCAGGGCATGTGCTACATCCAGACCGGCCCACTGCCATCAGCTCAGACCACTGACCCTCAGGCACAGTGCCCCCCCTCACTGCTGGGCTCCTGGAAGTCTCCAGCTGTTTACGACCATAGCATTGTGTCCATTAAACAGCTGAGTCCCTGTGCACCCAGAAGTGGGGCCACCTTGTCCTGGGTTCTATGACTTTGATCTTGGCTGATGCAAGAGGCATTTCTTTTCTGCCAGCCAAGGATAGGACACAGACCATCTGGTGCCTCAGTGCCCAGACCCTGTCTGGAAGCGGAGGGAGAAGACTGCAGGGAAAGCCAGGCCTTTCGAGGAAATGGAAACTGAAAGCAGAGGTGGGCTCCTTGAGAGTGAGGGGCCCGGCTGTGAAGCCACCCCTCCTGAGAGCCTGGGGTGACAGCCCCGCCCCCAGTGCCCTCCCAGCCACTGGCCCCAGGCCTGGAAGGAGGGGCAGTCTGAGCAGGGCCAGCTGGTGTGCTCCCTCGGTCTGGGTACTCACCTGTGTGTCCATGTGTAAAATCCCACCGAAAGCTCATGCCTTTCCACGTGTTACACCACCAGCATGTTAACCGAAACAGTTTCAACTGCAGTGAAAAACACATAGACAAATTTTACAGTCTTTTTCTCCCCACTGGCGATTGGATCTGGGGCCTCTGCATTGAGCTACATGCCCAGCCCTTTTTTATATTTTATTTTGAGACCAGATCTCAGAGTCTCTAGGTTGGCCCGCACCGCCACACCTGTCTAAAATTTACCCTTCTCACCACGGTTAAGTCTCCAGTGCAGCGCAGCACTTGCTGTTGTGCAAGCAGCTCCCAGGACTCTTTGTCTTGGGGGAACTGAAATTTGGTGACCATTAAACAGTTCCCAGCTTCCCTCCCTGCAGCCCTCGAGCAGGGGTGTCATGGAACCCTGTGTCACTTGCCTCTTTACGACTGGCCCACGTCAGTCAGCATGACGTCTTCAAGGGCCAGCTTGGCCCCAGCACAGCAAAGCCCGCTTCTTTCTCGAGGCTGGATGATACGCCACCGTATGTTGTATTAGGCTGTTCGGGCTGCTGTAACAAAACACCATGAACCAAGCAGCTTATAAACAACAGGAAGTCAGTGTCTCACAGCTCTGGGAACTGAGGAGGCCCAGCTCAAGGTGGCGGTACACTGCGCCCTGGTGAGGTCCCACTTCTTAGTCCACAGACAGCATCTTCTGGCTGCATCCTCGGGGGTGGGGAGGAGCAATGAGCTCCCTCAGGCCTCCTTTCTAAGGGTGCTGCTCACTTCCCAGAGGCCGCCATCCTGACAGCATCAGCAGGGGCAGGTGAATTTGGGGCGTGTGCCTCGTCATGTTCTGCAGCTGGCGCTGCGCACTGGAGCCAGGAGGGCTTGGAGCCTGGCCAGGCACGGAGCAGCCATGGGACTCTGGGCCTGGTACTCGCCCTCTTCCAGCCTCCACGTTCTTATCTCTATGTTGTGATCGACCTCAGTGTCCTCTTGTGGGGCCAATGACACGAACGTGGATGATGGCAGCCAGCAGGGGTCTGGCCCAGAGGAGGAGTTCCATCGGTGTTAGCTCTGTCATTGTGAACGTCACCTTCACTCCGCCCCTCACCACGCAGTCCCCAGCCCAGAGAGCACTTTGACCTCCCCAGGGCACTCATTCTCAGGGATTAGGGCAGCAGCCACCTGGCTCCCCTGAGGAGCTCAGAAGGATCCTAAGATGCAAAGACCCCTTTTTCCTTCTAAAGCCAGAGGCTCCACAATCCAGGCCCCCCGCTGCTCTACACAGGGTGAGGGCTGAGGGTCTTTCAATATGGGGCATTTTAACTTTAGTTTATGCCTCTCCAGTTCTTTGCTTCCACCAAGCTGGTCTCTCACGGGTTGCATCCGGTATCAAGCTGCTAGCTCGGTGTATCCGGCATCACCCAGCTCCGGGTCAGCAACCCAGACATCTCTGCAATCCGCAGGCAGCTGTCTGCACAGAGGGTCTGTGGTGCTCAGTAGCCCATCCCACATCACCAGTGTCTCCCCGCGGCTGTCTTAGAACAGGCCTGGTCCTGCAGTTCCGAGGTTTGCTGGTGATCTGTAATCCCTGATGCCGCTGCGTCCACAGCGGGCTGGGCCGGCCCCGACCCCTGCCTTTTACCCTCTGGAGCATCCTGGCTCCGGGCACCTACTTCCCCAGCTCTGCCACCTGAGCCAGCGGGCAGGTCCTCCATACTCATCAGCAGCTCTGTGGGAATGCTTTTATGTAACAGCTTTCTTAAGATATAACCTACATACCATATAATTCACCCCTTTAGAGTGGGGTGCTTTTATTTTTTTGTTCATTTTTGGTGGTTCTAGGGATTGAACCGAGGTATACATCCTCAGTACTCACTAAGTTGGCCTTGTTAGGTAGCTGGGATTTCATAACAGGTGTCCACCCCATGCCCAGCTTAGAGCAGGCGTTAGCATCACACAGTGGTGCCACTTTCACCACTGGCAACGTAAGAACATCTCCATCGCCCCCCAAAACACTCTGCACCCATTTATAATCACTCCTCACTTCTCTTGCCTAGCTGCCAACTCAACACTTCTCTGTCCCGTGGCTTTGCTGGGTCTGGGCGTTTCCCGTAGAGGGAAGCCGTCCTCTGGGTATGGCTTGTTCCGCTTGGCACAGTGTCTCACTGTTTGCGCACACCACTGCACGCGTCAGAGCTTTACTCTTTGCTGCAGAAGCTGAGGCAGGAGGATTGTGAGATCAAGGTCAGCCTAGGCAACCCAGCAGGACCTTACTGAGAGAGAGAGAGAGAGAGAGAGAAGGAACTTCATTCCTCTTTATTGCTAACTAAGAGTGCACTGTACACCCGGGAGCTTTTCAGATACATTGGCACTCACGTCCAGCCAGGTGCACATATCCAACCTGTCAGGGGCAGATGGTCAGCTATGCAAACACTCCCTAGGCTGCTCCCCTGGCCACTGGCTGGGAATCACTGCTTTCATTCCTTCCAGGTTGTTGGCAGGTGTCACAAGCACCCGGAAGTTGGGGCCCTGAGAGGTGACTTCGCCAGCTGAAATGGGATCTGACTTCCCTGAGCATTAAGAGGCACTGACTGCCTACCTGAGTCTGTGAGATCCAAAGGACCCAGGCCAGGCATTCCCTGAATATTGTCCAGTGGCCCGAATGGGCAGGGAGGCCTATGTACTTTGCTAGCAAGTAGGACAGGAGAACTCAAAGGCAGAGAGGAGGCATTTTGTTACTTGAAAGAGAGAGTGATAGTTCTGTCTTCAGGCAAGACTGACCTCCCTGAGAATGTGCTGGACACCAGATGACCCTGGTTCCCAGGTAAGCGCTCTTCTGGGACCATAGCTTGCCTTCAACTTCAAGGATTCTCTCTGCCTTTGGAACCTGGCCAGTAACCCACGCTCTCTCCCTTGTCTGGGGGGCCCAGGCCAAGGGAGGCAGGAGGGAGGCTGGAGGCCGGGCAGACAAAGGGCCCCGTGTGCAAATGCAGTGCAGATGGAGTGTGGGAGTGGGGCTTGCCTGGGCCTGACGGTGCCTGGGGCATGGCTGGTTCTGGTGTTTGCCAAGCACAGAGCAAGACAAAAAGAGTTTCAACAGACTTGATGGGATCCTGCTGTGGCAGGCCTGCAGCTCGGCAAAACAGGAGCACTTAACACTTTTCTGGAGCCTGAAGGTCTGTCACGTGCAAACGGCGTGGGCATTCTCGGGTGCCAGCCACATGCCAGGGTGGGGGTACCACTCGCACGCCTGTTGCCCCTTCTCTCCGCTCACTCTGGTTCCATTCACCAATGACCTGCTTCCCACGTGTAGGGTCCGTGCCCATGTCCTGACCCCCCAAGCCCAGGATGGTGACCTTTGCGGAAGTAATAATGAATCTCAGGATGAGATTGTTCTGGATGAGGGAGAGCCCAGCTCCGACCACAGGGTCTGTCTGAGGGAGGGAGGGACACACAGGCCTGCAGTCCCAGAAGCTGAGAGACGCAGGGGACAGAGTCTGCCTTCCAGCCTCCAGGAGGGACCAGCCCCACCTGCCAAGGCCTTGATTTTGGACTCCCAGACTCCAGAACTGTGAGAATAAACTTTTTTTTGTTTTGTTTTTTGGAGTCCTGGAGATTTACCCCAGAGCCTCACACTTGCCACTGCGCTATGTTCCCAGCCCTCTAAAACTCTGAGACAGGGTTCTTGCTAAACTGCTTGAGGCTGAGCTCAAACTTGCCATTCTCCCGTCTCACCTTCCCAGCAGCGAGGATCACGGGTGTGTACAACCACATCCACCCAATGTCTATGCACTGAAATAATTTATTCTCATAGACCCAGGAAACTAATACAGTATTTAGAGTTTATTATCCTGGGGGCTCAGCAGGCACTGTGCCCGTGCCGGGGCACTGCTAGGGGAGCAGAGATTTTCCATCCTAAGGCCCTTTCAAAGGAAAAGGAAAAACAAGCGGGTAAGAATGGATGAGCAATGACGTATCCAGCCTGGATTATGTTCACCTTTCTACCCACACAGCGATAAACCTAATCCTACTTCTTTTCTGTGGAAGAGAGCGTCCACGGGCGCCATGGTATGTGCCTGGACACTGTCAGGAGAGGGACAAGCAGAGGACCGGGTGGGCTTGGCTGGTCAGAGCAAGGAGTTTCAAGGCTCAGACCAGGGAGAGCACAGACCAGCTGGTTCCTGGCCACACCAGTGCTCCCTGCCTCACTTGTCACCGAGCCACATCCAGGAGGGCTGAGACTCCTGACACAGCAGGCCCACGGGCTCACTGTGGCCAGTGCCACTAATACATCTATTTATTTGTAGGTTAGGGTTTTCACTTGACAGGTGGGAGACGTGGGAGCCGAGACCCCCGCACAGACCCGGCACACCACAGGCACACAGTGTGTCTGCTGAGTGCGGACTGGATGACCAGAGGGAGGCCGAGGCCTGGGCCCAGGATTACACGACTGAAACAGCCAAACTGGGGCTTGCAGCAAGCGGCCTGCCCCGCCCTGGCTTTCCCACACCACCCTCTGTCATTCAGCACAGGAGTTGGGTCCTTCCCTGGTGTAGTTTCTAATCGTTACACAGAACCTGCAAGGTCGATCTTGCCAGCCCTGCTTCGGAATGGGGAAACTGAGGCTCTGGGAGACAGCACACCTGTCCTCTTCCACCCGGTGTCCCAGGTAGCTTCCTTTCCCTCCCTCTGCAGAGTTATTTGGCTGAAAACCTGGGTTTATGGCTATGGAGTCCTGAGTGCAGTGTGCTGGATCATTCGTATTTGTGTGGGTCACCCCAGGGTTAGCTCTGTGACTGCTGCCCCACTAGAAAACAAATGATGGACTCCCTCTAGGCCCAGCTGGCCTGGCCTCCCTAGGCTGTGGGTCTGAGACGAATCAGCTTCACTAGGGAAATCAGGAACAACTCAGGCCCGCCCTCCCTCACCTCTGCCGGTCACTTCCCATGAGGGCTTTGGGATGACAGTGTCAGCTCCCACGATCCCCTGCATGGCCCGGGCTGGGCTCGGAGCCACGCTGGGCTCAGTGTCCTGATATCTGTTTTAGGGACTGAGATCCAGTCCCAAGCTTTCTGAGGGACAC